TACAGTTATGATACAAGTGGTGTGTGTGTGTGTGTGTGTGTGTGTGTGTGTGTGTGTGTGTGTGTGTGTGTATATATATATATATATATACTAGTGTGACACTAGAAGTAAATGATGCATGTGTACTGGTGTGATAAGAGAAGTAAAGGTGAAGTGTATGTACAGTTATGTTACAAAAAGTGGTGTGTGTGTGTGTGTGTGTGTGTGTGTGTGTGTGTGTGTGTGTGTGTGTGTATATATGTGTGTGTATATATATACTAGTGTGATACTAGAAGTAAATGATGCATGTGTACTGGTGTGATAAGAAAATTGACATGTTTGTTGGTGTTATACCAGAGATAAAAGCAACATGTGTGTAGCAATTCAATTTCATATTCTGATGTAAACCCTTAAGGTACTAAAATTGTTGTTTGTTTAGAAATGGAAGTGAGAAGTTGTGTAGTTATGTAATGAGAGCACATCTGGTAAACAGTACAGATACAATATTAACATATTAGTATTTACCTTCAGAAATCAGTTGATGATTTGACAAAAGCTAGCAAAGTTCAAACCATACAATTCTACATAAAGTTATACATATGGATAAGCATATGTAATAATCTATATTTTTTCATGCTTTTCATAAAAAAATGACTTACTTTTGTAGTTGGCAACATCAACAATATTGTTTCCAATTTACAATTAGAAAGACAACACAACAAATTTTTGGCAACTACTATAATACATAAAAATGTCTTTTATCTCAAAAAGAAGCATATGGAAATAAAATCAGATTTTTTAAGATAAAATAAAACCGTAACATAAAACCTTGTGCAAAGCTATTTCATATCGTTTCCTTATCTTATCATATTTGGCAACTTAGACTCGCCTACAAGTATGTTAGGGTTGATCACTTTTAATGAGGATCAAATTGTAAACTTTCTGGTTTTAAAAGGAAGTTGAGTTGTGAGTTGAATGAAACTTTTAAATAAACATGATCACTTTGATACAGCTGTTCAAACACGAATGATGTTAGAGAACTGTTAAACACACGACTTATGATGGAAGTGGAAGCCAAAGTATTTTAATTATGAAACTCATAATTATATTGGAGTTTGGTAATAAACTCAACTTTACCTCAAGACAGATGACTTGTGTGACAAACCTAATACTGTAGCAAACCTTAACTTTTCAATTTGTTACATTTATAATTTAGATAATATATAGAAATATTTCAATTTTAGAACATAACTAAGATATATTTTTAGAGTTACATAAATGATAATACTATTTAGTTCTAATAGAATGTGGTCTATCAATCATGCATAACTTGAATTTGTTGTTTGAAAATGAAACAATCAGTTCTTAGAAGGATTGCAGCTTTTGAAAAACAAAACATGTGAACCCCATTTCAACTTTTTTTATACTGCAGGAACCAATGTAAACCGAAAATCTGGTAAACAGGTATCCTGTAGCACTGCATCAAGCCTGTCTTCTAACTGGAACAAATCATTAGTCACCTTACGCATGGAAGATGCCAGCTCCTACATAATAGATGTCCTAGAATAAGCTTTCATAAAGAAGTACGTTTCTTAACAGATCTTTAAACATTCTTTATGGCTCTTATTTATTCATGAATAAAAAGAAACCAATTTTATTCCCTACTACGTAAATTTCTCCAATAAAAGTTTGAGACTTTAAATAAAAAATAATAATTATATAATATTACTCCTTTTAGTTGATAAACAACTTCCTAAATAAATCCACAACCAGAACTGTATGAAAGTCAGAATTATGATTGAAGTAAAGGTATATATACTTAAAATATTTCTCGTGCATTTAAATCAAGCTGTTTTACATTCAACTAGGATTCCAAACAACACACTACTCATGTGCACTTTTTTATACTTTCTTCATCCCAATCTGATTAAAGGTTAAGATTAAACAAGAAAATCACCTGTGAATTATTATATAAAATCTCAGCTACTGGCAACTGAATACTTCTGACTTAATTAAGTTTTAATCCTCTATCAGTCTTTTCTTCAGTCTCTTCAAGTATGCATCATAAAAGATATGCAGAATTAATAGTGACATTCATACATAAGTATTAATTCTTGGCACTTGTGTATCATGTTAAAATAATAAATAACACACAACTTTAAAATAGGTACACAATTAAAAACATTTTAATTAAGGTCAATATATGACCACTAAAAAGTTGACCACATGTTTCTATGTTGCAACGTCATCTTTAATAGTGGGTTGCCAGATATAATCGTGTCTTATATATATATATATATATATATATTATTTTTTAGTTTTAAGTAGGTCTATATAGTACTACTAGTACGTAGGTTACT